AACCCTATAGACCCTAAGCCCTAAGCCCTAAACCCCAAGCCCTAAGCCCGAAACCCTAAAGACCCTAAGCCCTAAACCCTAAGCCCTAAGCCCGAAACCCTATAGACCCTATAAGCCCTAAACCCTAAACCCTAAGCCCGAAGCCCTAAACCCTATAGACCCTAATCCCTAAACCCTAAGCCCTAAGCCCGAAACCCTAAACCCTAAACCGTTATGGTCCAGGAGCGGGCCCGAACCAGCATCAGAGCTTCACTGCAATCGGCCGATGCGAATCTCTCTTTGGAAGGCTGGACCCTTTAGGGTTTAGGGTTTAGGGTTAGGGTCTTACCCTCAAAGGACTCATATCTTTTAAGGCTTCTTGGGCCCAAAGACCCTACTACATAAGGCCTTTGGGCTATTTTGATGCTAAGGCTTCCAGCGAGTCTTGCGAAGTGTTTGCGATGCGGACGTGCTGCTGGATGATGGTTTCAATATCGTCGGGGATAACACTCGCTTGAGACGCGTCCTCGCGACGCCCACCGATCTCCAAGGCGTGAAGTTTACCGACCTACTCGACCAGGACGGAAAAACGGAGTTCGAGACATTCGTCCGGAAATCATGCAGCGCAAGCCAAAGTCCACACAAGAAGGAGGAGAAGGATAACAGTTGCAGCATTCCCCCGTGCTTGCGCGTCTCGCTACCTAGTGCGTATTCGCGGGTGGGCGTGGACATTTTCCATGTTCCCGTGCCACGCTTCGTGGATGCTGCTGGGCCCCTTCACCTTCTGGCCTTTACGGAAGATCCAGATACTCTCCAAATACCCTACCTGTAAGTTTTTTGGGTTGCAGTATAGTACTCTGAAAGTTAAACCCCTAAACCCTAAACCCTAAACCCGTTATTTCTGTGACTTCTGGGGAAGAAAGGATACGCGGATACAGCCGGATGCAACTCTCGGAGCGATTCCAGAAGCGCTCTCGGTGTACTCCGAAGCGGATGACGTTCAGGACCGCATCTAGGTTCCTCAGTAGTACCCTTTTGCCCTTTTGATTTGGGGGTCTCCTTACTAAAGCCGAGTCTTAGGAAAAGGGTACCCTTATTATTAAGGGGTTACTGGGGAACCTAGGCATGTCCACTGCGGCAGATTCGGAGGGCGGCTGCTCAAAACACAGTCTGGGCAGTTCGATACTCTGCAGGGTACATCCTGTTCCCGAGCTGCGCGAGCTTACCATGCTCGTGGATGCTAGTACGGACCAGCAGGATGTGCTGCAAGTGCACGCCAAGTTTAAGCGAGACAAGAACCTGCCCAATGACATTCACTCCTGCATGCCATGCTTGCAGACCATACTCAGACCATCGGATTGGCTCAGCATCCGCAGGCGAGTGGCAAAGTTTGCGCAAGATCAGTGCCAGGTGGGTTCTCCAGAAAGAGATGAGATGCCGCCCCTGATGCTGGGTTCATTTAATTTAAGTTACCATAGTTATAGTTTCGTTGTTTTTTGCAGGTTCGAATTTCGAGTTATGGGTATAATGTAGGGCCTCAATAATTACCAATACTATTCTGGGGGTTCCAGATAATAATTATAGTATACTGGGTCCCAAAACTCTATTCTAATTATTAAGGCCCCTTTTTCAACTGTAAAGACGTTCCTGATGAAGAACCCAGGATGCTTCGGAGGTTGGACGACCAAAACAAGTTCCTGGCGGCGAACACGGTGAACCTAGCACCTGGGTCCTGTTGGATACAATTTTACATTGTTGTTATGAAAAAACCCTAATAAGGATTGAGGATGATCATGTTTAATATGGCCCCAACCGGGAACCAGGCACCCTGTCACGGCCAGGAGCCATCTAAGAAGTCTTCAAAAGTGTGGGTATATGTCCGAGATTTTGTGAACGACGAGGCCAAAGTCCGAGTGCAGCCATGCACTCTACTGGACTCATGAGGTGCTCCCCTAAACCCTAAAGCCTACCTTAAACTACCATAACCTACTTTTCTGTAGGTTCTTATTATGAACCCTAATATAGAATTTATGGGGACCCTACAAAAAAAGTGGGTTTGGGTAGCTTAAGGCATAGACCCCTCTGCATGTCGGCATAGTTTCCCGCCGTAAGAGAGCGGAGATGTCTCGCCGGCGTGTCCTCGAATCGGGTCCATGCTGGGGGCCATCTCTCTTGGTCGAACAAGGAGTGTTTCACTTATCCGAAAGTTTTAACGTTCATTTTTCATGGAAGTAGCTTAGTATAGGGCGCCTTCTTCATTACCTCTACTATTTCGGGGGTTCCCTCCCTAAACCCTAAACCCTAACCCTCGGCTCCTCCTCCAAAAACCCGTATTCTAATCATTATACGGCCCCTATGTTACGTCAGCTGGCATGAAGCACCCACTTTTTCTGGGTCCCCGCTCAGACATCTCTGACAGAATGGCGTGTTCGACGCACCTGCTCGCAGTTCCGAACCTCTATCGCACGTTTTGCATGCCGCAAGAGACGAGAAAAGAGCTTCGGGCTCTTCAACCTTAAGCCCTCTACACCCCTAAGCCGGTGGGGCTATGTCATTGGATTTCTGAAGCCGGGACCCCAAAGCCTAACCACACTCACTTGACCTAAACCCGATGATGACACGGGATTGGGCGACTATCCAAAAATCCTCGGTCCTAGGTAGTACTAGGGAGACCCCTTAAAGGAGACCCTTCTGAACCCTACTTGTGGCTCTCTTAAAGGGGACCTTATTGAGAGGGTCTATATCCCCCCCCCTATTCCTAACTCCTAAAAAAAAGGTTTCAGGGCTTAGGGCCTGCAGCTTCTAGTGTTCCGGGCCTTTGGGGGCATTGAAGGGAGTAAGGTCGTGATCTGGTTTAGGGTTCGGGGTTTGGGAGTACCAATACTTGAACACTTTTGTTTGGACCTGTTCCTTAATCTAAGGAAACGTTCTGTAGGACCTGTTCCTTTATCAAAGGAAAGGTTGTGAACTAAAAGTTTATGGGACCTGTTCCTTAATCAAAGGAATCGTTATGAACTAAAAGTCTATAGGACCTGTTCCTTAGTCAAAAACCGTTATGAACTAAGTGTCTATACCATTTGTAATCAAACAAAAGTTTATGAACAAAAAGTCTATACTTTTTTTTTATAAACCCCTGGCATCAATGATGGAATAGAGCTGACATAACACAGCAGCAAGGATCCTGGCTCTGATTCCAGGGATGTTCCTAGCATGCCTGCCATACAATGCCCATCGTCCCCGAAGTAGTTCCTTTTTGGGATTACCGTATAGGGTTCTCTATATATAAACCATAGAAAGGAACTACTTAGGTGCCTATGGGTACCTAGAGGGTCATACTCTACCCCGTTTTCTAAGGTACCCTAAGTTTACGGTTAGGATCTGCTATATAGAAAAGTCGGTGACCAAAAAAAGGGATAGGGTATGAGCCTATAGGTACTCTAGTATTTTGGTATGATACAGTACAACGCAGTATATCATGGCACATGACAGTGTAACATCTCATATCTGAGTTAAGCGGGTGGAAGCCGGGCCGGCTCGGTTCCGCTTGGTAGGACCACCTTGCCTTCTCCCGCGACTACTTCACAGCACCTGTGGTCTGTGGTACAGATCGTGCCTCGGTGGAAAGCACCTAAACCCTACACCCTAAGCCCTGTAAACCCTAAGCCCTATAAACCCGAAACGGCCCTAAACGGCCCCAAACCCCTAAACCCTAAACCCTACACCAGAGCTTCGGAGCAGATGTCGTTTGAACCTGATTCAGCCGGAGGTCTACCCATAGGCGCCTAAGTAGTTCCTTTTTGTGGTTCATATTTAGAATCCTATAAGGTAATCCCCAAAAAGGAACTACTAAGGAGCCTATGGGTAGAAAGATTTGCGGCTTTACGGCTTTAGGAGGAGCTGCGGGGCTTTGGAGTTGAGATCTCAGGGGTGAGGAGCTGAAGTTGCACCTGTCAGATGTCTTCCCCGTACCCTCAAATCAAAGGACTCATGATTTTTAGTCTTTTGGGCCCAAAGACCCTATTATATAAGGCGTTTGGGGCTATTTTGATGCTCGGGGTTTGTGCCTGTGACAGCCAGAAGGCGCTGAGACAAGCTTCCCTTTTTTGCATGTGTTGTGACCCGCAGGGTTTGGGGTTTAGAGTTTAGGGTTCCCAGAGACTCCAATATCCCTTAATTAAGGAATGTATACCATAAATTAGAATAGGAGCCCTAATAAGATTTAACGTATATTCCTCGATTAAGGGATATTGGAGTCTCTGTGTTCCTCAACCCCAAGCCATCCCGAGCCCCCGAAAAAACATTAGGGTTTTGGGTTTAGGGCCTAGGGGTTTTGGGTTTAGGGTCTAGAGTTTTGGGTTTTGGGTTTAGGGTTTTCGGTTTAGGGTTTTGGGTTTAGGGTTTAGGGTCACCACTTGCCATGTTCGAGGCCTGGAAGATCAGCTTCCGGAGGCCAGGCCGGCGTGAGAGCTTCAGGGAAGCCGGGACACTACGCAACTCATACCCTAAGGGTCCAGGTACCCAAACAGTATATACTTTGGCCTTAAATTAGTCCCCATATAGGTACTTTGGGGCCAAAGTATATGCTATTTGGGTACATGGACCCTCAGGGCACCCGTAGGGTGCAGAACGCTACCCCCATTTTGGTTTGCCTATGTTTTCTATATAGCAGATCCTAACCAAAAAACTAGGTACCCTATAGAGGGGGGTAGGGTATGACATTCTAGGTAAATTCGTACAGAGGCTCTTTCCCCCTTTCAAGATAAAGGGATCAAGCACTCCGGGGTCAGTCCATGAAGAGGGGTTCGTCCGATTGGAAAAGCTTGTCTCTCGGCAACAGGCTCAGTCAATCTGGGCTCACCGGATTAGGGTTGAGGGTTTAGGGTTTAGGGCTTTAGGGTTTAGGGTTTAAGGAGTTGCAGCTGTCATGACCATGATGGTACACATGCGAGCAGAAATCATCACCAGAGTCACCATCCCACCATTGCTGCTTGCTACGACGACGACGACTGGTGCCGCTGCTACCGTTGCTGCCGGCACCACCTGTAACACTCGAGTACTCCGCTTTGAACTTGGTGCAAGAGTTCTGATCTAATATAGGGGCTTTAATAATTAGAATGGGGTTTTGGGGTATATTATACTATAGTTTGAATAAGGAACCCCAGAATAATATAGGTACCCTAAACCCTAAAGCCTAAACCCGATGTGACTGCCGGAAGCTTCCGTGCCAGGGCTGTTCCGGCAGGAGGGCCGAGCTCAGACCCAAAGAAGCCCGAGACCACTAAATGCCCTAAACACCTGAGCCCCTAGCGCCCTAATCTCCGAAAATCAAAGGGTTTAGGGTTTAGGGTTCCCTAAACCCCTACAGTAAAGCCCTATAAAGCTCTAAATTGAACCTCCAAGCCCCCAAATTCACGCACTAAATCCTTAAACTAAGCTCCTAAGCCTTTAAACTAAAAGGATTTCAGCCCCTAAAGTCAAGCCCTAAGAGTCTAAAACCCTTAAGGTATAGCCCTAATCCCTGAACCCCTACCTGAAACCCTAAAACCTATAAACCCTAACCCCTAAGCCCCTAAACCCCCTTACTAAACCCTAAACCCTAAACCCTATAACCCGTGAATCCTTAAAGTAAAGCAACCCCTTTTCCCCTGAACCCCTGCCAGGTCTACAACCTGGCGGTCTGGAGTCGGCTCTTTCTTTATAAGCCGCAGCCTCGGGAAGCTTTTGAGGTGGAGGGGCTTTGGGGTTTAGGGTTTAGGGTATAGGGTTTAGGGCTTAAGGTTCAGGGTTCAGGGGTTTAGGGTATAGGGTGTACGCCCTCTGTTGTTCACAGGCATTTAAGACTGGACATGAGCGCCGAAAGGTTTCTGGAAGAGTTCTGCCAAGCTTCTTTGGAGTCTACATAGCCTTGACGCTTTATAGGGCTTGAAAACATTGGCTAGGTTGAAGTTTGGTGTTCAAGGTATTTAGGGAATTTAGGGGGCTTAAGGCTTCGGGTGTTTAAATTTAGGGCGCCGCTTCTCATCCCAGCGTTCGGACGGCACTCCCTGCAGCTATAGGCGCAACTACCCCACACCCTCTTCCCTAAACCCTAAACCCTAAACCCTTGAAGGAACGCGAAACCGAGACCCCCAAAACCAGAACCCCCAAACCTTGGCCTGTGGGAAGCCTTCATGTTAGAACCCGAAACCCTAAAGCCCTAAAGCCGACCCCTTAAACCCCTAACCCTAAAGCCGAAACCCCTAAACCCTCAACTTTAAAGCCGAAACCCTAAAACCCCTAAACGCAAAAGCCGAAGCCCCTAAACCCGAAAGCCGGAACACTAAAACCCCCAAACCTTTAAGCCGACGCCCTTTCGACCCTAGAACTCTTAAGCCCCTGCAGTTTGGGTCCTGAGCCAGGGAATTTGAGCTGGGAAAGCTAACGATGCCGATCGTCGGGCAGCGGGAGACTCGGTGGTTTAGGGCTTCAGGGGTTTAGGGCTTTAGGGCTTAGGGTTTAGGGTTTAAAGTTGAAGTTTAAGGTTTAGGGGTTCGGGTTTAGGGTTTAGGGGTATCAAGTTTAGGGTTTTGGGTTTAAGGTTTTGGGGTGGGGGCTTGGCCGATCAGTGGTTTGATATACGGATTAGCGGTTAGGGGTTAGAGTTTAGGGTTCAGGGTTGTTTCAGGGTTTAGGATGTTTACGTCTATGGCGCGCAGGCTTCAAGCTTAAGGGTTGTCTGGGATTAGGGTCTAGTGACTGTTCAGTGGTTTAGGGGTTTAGGGCTTAGTGCTTAGGG